TGAGTCTTACGTAGCCTCCCTCCAGGATGGACTGTTTGATTTGGAGTAAATCATCACATAACAGCCCTGTCTGAGCAGACACATTTATTTGCATCCACTCATCACCAGCTATTGAATCTCAGCAATGGACAAGGGGTTCACTTTTTTTCTTGCATTGACTACTCTGTGGGTAATAATTGATACTTCTCTCTTAAGTTGTGTATTGTAACAGGTGGTGCTTGGTCTCTCAGAGCCTTCCCAGGCATGTAGAACATGGCCATGTTAGGACTGCTAAGCCATGCTCCCAGCCCCTCACTGGGGGTTTCCTAGCAGGTGTTCAGCCATTAAGCCACATCCCAAACCCTCACTGGGGGATACTAGGCAGGTACTCTACCACTGAGTCACACCCTGGCCCTCACTGAGGGATTTTTTTTTTTTGATTTTTCGAGACAGGGTTTCTCCGTAGCTTTTGGTTCCTGTCCTGGAACTAGCTCTTGTAGACCAGGCTGGCCTCGAACCCACTGAGATCCGCCTGCCTCTGCCTCCCGAGTGCTGGGATTAAAGGCGTGCGCCACCACCGCCCTGCTCACTGAGGGATTTTAGGCAGGTGTTCTACCACTGAGCCACATCCTGGCCCTCACTGAGGGATTTTAGGCAGGGGCTCTACCACTGAGCCACATTCCAGCCCCTCACTGTGGGATTCTAGGCCCTCACTGTGGGATTCTAGGCAGGGGCTCTCCCACTGAGCCACACCCCAGCCTCTCACTAGGGGATTCTAGGCAGATGCTCTACCACTGAGCCACACCCCAGCCCCTCACTGGGGGATTCTAGGCAGATGCTCTACCACTGAGCCACACCCAGCCCTCACTGTGGGATTCTCCAGCACTGTACTCAATCCCCAGCCTCTCCAAACATGTAAACACTCATTATGCCCTTTTCGGACGTGGGGGGCATTCTAACCGTTTTACTGTTTAGAAAGACTGAGGCACGTGTGGGCTTTTCAAGTTCTTGGAACCAACAAGAGGCAGAGACAGAGACATGAGATTCAAATGCATGCCCCTGACTCCCATGCCCACACAATTCTTCCCCGACTCAAAGGGATACCACTTCCCTTGTGTGCTCTGTGGATAATTATTTTGCTGAATCGACTCACTGGTATTCATCTCTAAATCCAATTCTTGTTACAGGGGCCATGTGTGGCCAGATAAGCTCCCAATTAAGCCTCTGGCCTCTTGCCTCATTCGCCTCCCAGCTGGGAGTTCCAGCTGGGCTCTGCACACACCATTCCAAGCCTTTGGACTCCGTGGAATCTGCTGGCTCCCGTCTGAGCTCTCCCTTCCCCACCCACTTTCCAGAAACTGCCAGTCATGTACGCTCTCATTAATCACTTCCAGGGAAGGCAGGAGACAATATAATTGCTCCGTGTACACCTGTCAGGTAGACACTGCATCAAGAGCATGTTTAAGGTTGTTTTTAGTTCTGATCAGAGTGATTGAAACAGATGTACCTCATGGGTCTTATTAAACGGCAGGGAAAATTAGTCATCAGACGTCTGGCTTCTTCTGTGATTTGTCTGTATGCAGATGCGGCTGCGTTTAACCCGTTAGATTAACAGTTCTTTCGTTCACTGATCGATAGTGAAGACTGGGCAAGCCGGAGGAGGGGGTCCATTAAACACAGACACAGAATCTTGGTTGTCTGTTGTGATGCTCTCCTGTGGAAGGGTTGGAAATAAATTGCAGAGACAGAGATAGAGAGAGAGACAGAGAGAGAAGAGAGAAGAGCGAGAGAGAGAGAGAGAAGAGAGAGAGCTGTCATGTATCTGCTTCTCATTCATTCACTGATTCAATAATTATTGACCGGGCACCTGCCACATCACATGGCAGGGCCAATGCTAGGTGATTCAATATTTTTGTGATGGATTTTCCATAGTTCTTATTTTCAGGAAGCCCACAGTCTGCAGGGGAAGAGGGGCTAATTTATACACAATCATGGTAAGTGTTTGTCTTAGGTTTATATTGCTGTGACGAAATACCATGGCCGAGAGAAAAGGGGAGAGGCATATGTCGTCTTGTGTTCCCAGGAAATAGTCCATCACTGGGGGAAGTCATGGCTACTCAAACAGGGCAGGAACCTGGAGGTAGGAACTGAAGCAGAGACCGTGAAAGGATATTGCCTATTGGCTTGCTCTTCATGGTTGCTTTCTTATAGTACCCAGGATCACCAGCTTCAGGGGTCGCACCACCCACAGTGAGCTGAGCCTTCCCACATCAACCATCAATCAAGAAGACATCACAGGCCAATCTGGTGGGGGCATTTTCTCATTTGAGGTTCCCTCTTCCCAGATGAGTCTATCTTGTGTCAGTTCGACATAAATCTAGCCCAGCACAAGGCCTAATCAATAAATGAGCACTCAGCATAGCATTGCCTCTGGGTGTGCACATGGAGTACAAACTCCTGAAGTGCCGGCTGATATAGTTTGCCCCCTGACATCTGTGACCTTGAAGGCTGGCTGGACCCAATGGCTTGCTTCCAAGAAACGATGCTGGGAATAGTGGTGGAGTGGTGGTGCAGTTGGTGGGGTTACTGGGGTACAAGCATGGGGACCTGAGCGTGGGTCTCAAGCACCTATGTAAAATGTGAGACATGTAGGTCTATGTCTGCCATCCTAGTACCGAGCAGGGCAGAGATGGTCAGGTCCCTAGAGCTTTCTGGCCAGGCAGTATTGCAGAAGTGATGAATTCCAGATTTATTGAGAGACCCTGTCTCAAAATACACGTGGAGAGTGTTAGAGAAAGATGTCCAGTTTTGACCTCTTGTCTTCGTAGGCACATATGCATACCTGTACACACATAATCACATACAGATTTCTTTCTCCCTGTGTATGTGTGTCTGCCTTTCTCTGTCATCTCTATCATCTCTGTCTCTCTCTCTCTCTGTTTCTCTCTCTCTCTCTCTCTCTCTTTCTCTCTCTCTCTCTCTCACACACACACACACAAGAATACACTTTGGCAAGAATGATATATGTTACCCTGGGGTGTGACTTCCCAGATTAGGCTATAGTCACGATTTGAATCGTGACCCATCATCACAGAAGGACACATTGACATCCCAACCCTTCGTATCTCAGAATGTGAGCTTACTTGTAAATAAGGTAATTACATATGTGATCAAGTTAAGGAGCCAGTAGGGTAGTTCCTGATCCAATGTGACCACTGTCTTTATAAAGGAGACAGGAGGACACAAACACGCAGAGGGAGAACGACACTCATCACAGGTCACAAAGTGGCAGGGTCAACTGACTAGACACTAAAAGTTAGGAAATTGACAGTCGCTTTTTCCTTCTTTTCCCCTGGTGGTGTCAGGCATTTTGTTATAATATAAAAAGCTAGCATATCATGGCTATGTCTTCAATGGCTAGCTTGTGGCCTCCCAAGTCTTGGAGATCTTACTGGTATCGTTCCACAGGACCAGTCCTTTCACCAGCTCCAGCAGGTTCCAGATGGGGTAGATGCAAGGGTGGGTCAACCTAAGGCCCAGCTGGGGGCCTGGGTGGTAGCTAAATTGGTCAGTCTGGGCCACTGGGGTCACCTGCCTCAGGCAAGGGGGCAGAGCCTGCTCCCTTACATGCATGCCCTCCGGGTGGGTTCACCCTCACCTGTGGTGAGGAGTGGGAGCCACCTCTCTCACGTGCAGGGACCAGCTCTTTTGCTGTAGTGTCCAGTGAGAGGCAAGGCCAGTTTTCCCAGGGCCAGCAAAAGGCGGGGTTGGCTCAGCATGGCCCTCTGATTTCAACTCCCATGGTTCCTAAAGCCTCTTGAGGTGACACAGGCCACCGACATCACCGCAGACCTCCTGATGGTTTTCACCTGAGCAGAGGCAGCCTTTCTCTGCATCTCTCCCGGTAAATTTCTTATGTGAGGTTTGTTGTGTGGGGTGACTTTATGGCATTCCTTGGCTCCCGACTACCGGGATACCTTTCCCCTCAGAGCTGCAACACCTCCGCTGCGGAAACCTCCCCCTTAAAGTTGTTAACACTTATGAAGAATAGACTCCCTGAGCTGTTGAGCTGTATGTTAGCCGTGCAGAAAGTGCCAAGATTGTTTTGCGACTTGTCACCTACGTTAGGTGTGTTTTCTGGTGATGTGGCTGTCTTTGAGTCATTCCATACGCCTATTAGTAACCCAAGTAAAAACTCGTGGGTTCACTAACTTGGGCATCCTGGAAATTGTTCCTTAAGTCTATTTTTTGGGGTTCCTCTATATGGGGTGAGCCGACATGATGGCATAGTTTGCTTTCTCTTGCTGTGATACAAAAGTGACCCAAAACAGCTTGGTTAGGAAAAGGGTTATTTTATCTCCTACTTTACAGTCCACCACTGAGAGAAACCAAGGCAGGAGCTCAGCTCAGTTCCTGGAGGAAGGAACTGAAGTAGAGATCATGGAAGACCACTGCTTTCAGGCAAGCTCCAAGGTTGAAGGTCAGTTATCTTTCTTTACATAGCCCAGGCCCATCTGGCTAGGGACGGCACCACCCTCCAAGGTCTGGGTCCCCTTACGTCATTTAGTGATTAAGAAAATGTCCCACAGACATGCCCACAGGGCACTCTGGTGGAGGTGATTCCTCAGCTGACAGTTCAGCTTCCTAAGTGTGTCAAGTTGATAACCGTGATCAGCCATCACATCAGGAGTGTCTGTGTCGTCGTCCCTCCACCCTGCCCCCATCTCTCCAGGTAAACCATTTGCTAGATTGCCTTGAATAGGATTACTATAGAGGCAATGAAGACTGCAAAGAGAAATGAACGTGTCATAATGAGTGGCCCTGGGGCGTGAGGCAGTTTTCTTTAGCACCGTTTACAGGAAGGTTACCACCTTCTAATTAAAAACAAACATTCTAGGGCTGGAGTGATGGATCAGTGGGTAAAGAGCTTTTCCTGAAGGCTTGACAACCTGAGTTTGCAGTCCAAGAACCCATGTAAAAGCTGGACACGGTCGGGCACTTCTGTAACACCAGCATCCGGAAGCAAGATGGGAGACTCCAGAGGTACCCAGGCCAGCTATCCCAGCATGCACAGCAGGGAATGACAAGATGTTCTCTGCCTCAAACAAGGTGGAAGGTGAGCTCTCTCTCTTTCTCTGTCTCACACACATACGTGTGTGTGTGTGTGTGTGTGTGTGTGTGTGTGTGTGTGCATATGTGCGTGGGAGGTGGGGACAGAGAACAAACGCATGTTTCAGGTCCCATTCAGATTCTGTGACATAGTCTTTGGGAAGGTGGGACACAAAAATCAGAGTGTAAATGAACCTGTTACCACCATGCATCTCTGTCTCTCTTCTCTTCATGCCTCAGTTCCCCAAAGGCAGAGATAACAGTGTGATTTACCATGTCCATACTCCCCACCCCTAGCGGTAGGGCCACACACACACTGAGTAGTGGCCCTATTGCTGAGCCATGCCCCTAGCCCTTGGCAAGTGCTCTAACACTCAACCAAGGTCTCAGCCCCTCACTGGGGGATTCTAGGCAAGTGCTCTACCACTGAGCCACACCCCAGCCCCTCACTGGGGGATTCTAGGCAGGTGCTCTACCACTGAGCCACACCCCAGCCCCTCACTGGGGGATTCTAGGCAGGGGCTCTACCACTGAGCCACACCCCAGCCCCTCACTGGGGGATTCTAGGCAGGGGCTCTACCACTGAGCTACACCCCCAGCTCCTCACTGGGGGATTCTAGGCAAGTATTCTACCACTGAGTGACACTCCAGATGGTGGTTATAACTAGATTGGCATGACTTTTTTGAAGCAGTTTGCTTTCCCCACCATAGGGCTTTTGGGTCAACCTTAATTGTACATACTCAACTGATAACACCAAATTTTCAGTCTCAACAATGCATTTGTTTATTCCAATGAAGAGATAAGCCCATTTTTTTAGATAGGAGCTGTTAAGGTTAAGACAATGAGCTGAGACTTTGTTACCAGAGACTGAGGTACCTTTTTTGAGTTCTTAGTCTCATTAATCAAGAGTTAAAAAACTGACTTGGAAGGAAGTGTGAAGAAAATTTTATCAGTGTTTGAAAGGGATAAAAAAAAATGTTGGGCCAGCTGTAAATATTGGCAGTGGCCAGGAGGAGAGGAGATGGAGAAAGAATCATGCTTTAAGTTAGGTATTGGAGGTCAGAGAAACCAGGAGGGAGCTCAGAGTGTCCAGGACAGCAGTTTAGGGTTGCTGGGCCACAGGTCTGAGTTCAGAGTTTGGCTTGGCCAGATGTGGTATTGCACGCCTTTAATCCCAGCACTTGGAAGGTAGAGGCAGGGTAGATCTCTGTGAGTTCAAGGCCAGTCAAGTCTACATAGCAAATTAGCAAACTACAGTCCAGCCAGGGGCATACAAGGAGAATGTCTAAAAAGACAAGAAGAAGAAGAAGAAGAAGAAGAAGAAGAAGAAGAAGAAGAAGAAGAAGAAGAAGAAGAAGAAGATAGGGTGAGCCAGTGAGCTGATGGAAGAGCTTAGAAAGCATGCAGCGGTGTGGGGTTTAGCCTCTGCCCTTGCATTCCCATCGCTCTCTGCTGTTTGATGGAGCCCAGGTGAGGAAGGGGCTTCCAGGCTTCCTTCACAGACTGGCCTGTTCCAGTTCAGCCTCTAGTCTCCTGTCACAACTTGTGGCACTGAATTATAGCATTTGAACCCACACCAAGACAGTGCCCTTGAATTTTGGGAGAGTTAGAACAGTGTGTTTGGGGGTGATGGACCTGTGCCTTAACCCTGGCACTGCAGTCTTCAAACTGTGTGTCTTCGAGCAGCGACTTCCTCGTTTGGAGTTTGCATTTTGGCCTCTGTCAAATGGGCGCAATTAGGAGGCAGGTTACCAGGTAGTCTGCGGGCAGCGTTGAGTGTCAAGGCTGCTAGAGATGTTCAACAGAAGAGCATGTGTACCTCACTGCCCTTTCCCTAGGGTGTATGAAGGTTGTTCTCAGGTCAGAGCCTGGGCGCCGCCAGCCACAACAAGCTGGGCTTGGCCCCTTACCCTTAAGGCATCATTTAAAGAGACAAGGCAATGTGAAAAGCAGAGACTGGAGATGTGGGCAATGTGGCCACACTGGGAAAAGGAGCAAAAGAACAGGTCCAGTGAGCCCCAGGTCCATCAGGGTCCTGGTATGGGTTTAAACAGAGGGCAAGTGGTACCTATACATGATCAGTTCTTGTGCCCGCCCACTACTGTTGATTTAATGAATGTCAGAGCTGTGTGAAGTCTGTTCCTGGGGTACCAGTTGCCCCTGCGGTTGGCATCAGGCTTCACCCTTTCCGTCCCTTTAGCGTGAGATTCCTAAGGAAATTCCAGTATTTTTTGGGGGGGGGGGGTCCATTGTTTCAATAGTCTCATGGCCAGAGGGAGGGACACACATGCCACAGCATACAAGGGGAGGTCAGGACAGCTTGCAGGAGTGTGTTCCCTCCTTTCACCCCATCTATCCCAGGGATTAAAATGAGGTCATCAGGTTTGGTGGCCTTTACCTGCCACCTCACTGGCGGGAGGTTTATTGAGGTTCAGGGGGTCAGTCCACTTGCCTTGATTCCCCCGGGGTGGGGATGACTTTCGCATGACCTCAGCTTGTCACTTCAATCTGATTAGAAAAACCAAAGAATGCTCCCAAGGCTCCAGAATCCAGAGGCGGCTGCCTCAAAGAAGTCTTTATCCTAAACCCACTGCTAATCTCTTTGGAAATTCCGCTTTAGCATTCCTCCCCCTTCTCGTGGGGAGGTGTAGCGGTTGTTCTGACAATAGACGTGCTAAGAGAGGCATCTGTAAATTCTGTTTCTCCAGCCCTGGTCCCTTTCTTTCAGGCTCCTGGGAGGTCTCTCATTGCTAGCCCAATGGGATGGTATGGAGCAGAGAAAAGAGAAACCTTTGAAGTGGAAGTCTCTTGCACTAATGGCATAATTACTCCAGGAAACCATTTACAAAGTAATTATGGGCTATTGTTAGCTTGCTCTAGCTTTCTCCCCCCCCCCCCCCCCCTTCTTAAGCAATGAGGCTTAGCTCAGCGACTGTGGGAGGAGGGGGAAACCCTATAATATGCATCGCACTGAAAGAGGAGAGAGAGAGAGAGAGAGAGAGAGAGAGAGAGAGAGAGAGAGAAGCTCTCCTTGCAAACTAATTTGTCTCCTTCTCTGTCCCCCTATTACAATAGCAAAAATGAATTCAGACGTCTCCAAGCCCCATGGGCATCCACAATGTTCCCTTCCTGGCTCGGTATGTTTCTGGTATTAAAATGCACTTTCGACAAACGCTGGTTGTAGCTTTTGCCCAGATCCGCCTCCCCCCCCCCCCAATGAGGAGAAGGGGGCTTTAAAGGCTGTGTGGTTAAAGTCATGAGAGCACGAGACTCTCCTGTTGGAAGGTTCTTGAACAGCTTTGTCCAACTTTCCCAGCCCAAGCCTGACTTCCATCTTTCTATGCCCACTCTCTGGAGATGCCCATGAGATACTGACTTTCCTCAGAGTCCTTGAGCCCCGAGGCTACCTAGCCCGTTGCCTCCCTTCAGCGAGCTAATGGAAATACATATTACAATATTAACTTTTAAAATTCCATATTAGCACTCTGTTGGGATAAATGAGGTGTGTAGAAAAACCCGTAACACCGCATTAGCTTCTGTCTTTGGGTAGCACATCTGCTCCCTCCAGATGAAATCCTCAGAGCCATAAAGAAAGGGAAGGGCCAAGGAGAAGAGCACACTTCCTCTTGAGTCTGAGTTTCTGGCTGACATGGAAGAGTTGACAGTTGGCTGGAGGGGCTTCAAATCTATTTAAGGCCCCTTTGAACTAAAGTTTACAGAATAATAATAATAATAAAGTCCTCACCCTTGTTAAAGATTCTACAAGGCTGTGTTTTTGCATCAACACTCCTGATTTAGCACCCCCCGCCCCCCCAAATCTCACAGGAACCTGGGAATCCTTCATATGCCATGAATAGAGCCAGGGACAATGATCATGAATAATTACACCCCCAGGTTTCTCAAGCTTCTAGGAAGGGTTTGCCCTCTGTAAGCTTTGCCACTGAATTCTCATAGACCAGAGACCAGGGCAGGAGGGATTTACCCAAGGTCCTTATCAACTCGACACAGCCTACATGACCTGACAGGAAAACCTCAGCTGAAGAATTGCATGAACCAAACTGGCCTGTGGACACATCTGTGGGGGAAAGTGTATCAATTATTAATGGATGTAGAAGGGCCCAGCCCACTGTGGGCGGTACCATTCCCAGGGTAGATGGTCCAGGGCTGTATAAGTAAGCTAGCTAAGTTTGAGCCTGAGGGTGAGCAAGGCAGCCAGCACAGAGTTCCTCCATGGTCCCTGATTTAGGTTCCTGCCTTGATTTCCCTCAGTGATGGCAAACCAAAGAAGGCCTTTCTCTCCTCTGCTAATGTGTTTCTGGTCAGAATGTTTGCTCATAGCAATAGAAAGGAAACAAGGACAGACTATGTCTGGGGTTTCCCACGCAAACATTCAGGTCTATAGTCTGATGCCCTATGGCACTGGTTCTCAGCCTGTATGTCACGACCCCACATAGGGGTCACATATCAGATATCCTGAGTATCAGATATTTACATCATGATTCATAGCAGTTGCAAAATTACAGTTATGAAGTATCAACGGAATGATTTTACGGTTGGGGGTCACCCCAACATGAGGAACTGTGCTAAAGGGTCCCAGCATTAGGAAGGTTGGGAACCACTGATCTATGGTGTTCATCTGTGGTGATGGTGAGCCCAGGGCTCTGGGTATGCTAGATAGGGAAGCCTGCAAGTTTTCAGGGAAGGTTCTATCTCAGGATAGACTCAGCTACTAGTTGTTACAAGGGTGGGTTGTAGTCTGTGCACCCATCAAGTTAGGTTGCAGGTCACGAGTGTGTTGTAGACACCTTTAAGCCCAACTTAAGCATGTGCATGCCATAGTCAGGGGTCTCTAGAGGAACAGACCTGATGCAATGGATATCTGTATATTAAAATGGGATTTCTTAGAGCGGCTGACAGGCTGTGGTCTGGGTGGTTCAACAGTGTTGGTTCCGCTACAGAACAGCTGAGAATTCAGTAGTTGTTCAGTGACGGTGGTGGTCTCAGCA